CACAGCACGGCCATCGGAAGCCAAGAAACCCAGGGCACCCCGGAGGCAAGCAGGGTGTTTCTTGGCTCAGAGGGTCGAGGCTTTCGAGGTTCCTCCAAGGTTGCCTTTTTCTGGGCGTTTCTTGATCGTCCTGAGAAGCCCTCCTGGCCACGGCTGGATCCGCCTCGGGCTTCTTGCCAGAACGCACCCCAGGAAGAGGTCCCAGGCAGGACCAGACCTAAACAGTGTTTTTCGTTTTCGTTGTGTTTTCGCTGTCCCTCGCTTTGTCTTAAGTCCGCCTTTGCTGCAGAACGACATCCACTCGAACACGGCCCACGAAATCGCCCAACACACACAATCTAGGCCACACCCTGGTCCCAGGACCGAACTCCGACTCCCCCTCGGAGGCGGCGACGGCAGCGAGAGCTGGGGGAGGCGACGGGCTGCGAGGCTCCCCTCTCGCGCCTTCGTCGGCCCCCGCGCGCTTTCCAGCCTCGGGAGGCCTTCCATTAGGTCGGGCCTGTCCCCCTACAGGGGGATTTTCGACGAAACAAAAAAAAAAAAAAAAAACATCAACAACTAGTCCAGCAAGGGTCGGGGGACTACTTTTTGATGATTTTTTGACCCTCTTGGGGTATTTTAGGGGTATGTTTTATTCTTCGTCGAAAATCCCCCTGTAGGGGGACAGGCCCGACCTAAGCCTTCCACCAGCTGCGCCCCGCCGAAGGCATGTCCGGGGGCGCCCGGAGAGCGTCGAGGGCGGCCGCCCGAGGCCCGGGTCGAGGCCCGTCGTCGACCCGGCCTCCCGCGCGGCCCTGTGACCCCTCGACGACGGCGGCGGCCAACGGCGGCGGCGGCGAAGGGCCCTCCGAAATTGTCCCACGGTCTCGGAGATTCGAAGGCGCCCACAGACACGCAAATAAATACACACACACACACACACACAAATAACAGGCTTCCCCATGTTTCCCCATATTTTCGGGGCGTCTGTCTTCCCCCCCATTTCCCACAATGTCCCATATTTTCCTGGGAGTCGACGATCAATTGTGTGTCTGTGTGTTTTTCCCCTCCTGAAAATCGTCGGATGCGTGCGGGGGCTTTCGAAAGGTTTCGAGGGCCGGGGATGTGACCACCAAGTGCGTCTCGTCGAGGGCTCTCTTCGGCCGCGCGCACAACGGGGCAGGGGAAGAGAGGGGAAGGCTCCCGAGGAGGAGGCTGCTCCTTCGACGGCGTCGGCCCCACATCTACATTTATGTTGTTCCCATCCTACTTCAGGACCGCATCCCAGAAATAATTTCGAGCACCCAGAAAAGTGTCAAAAGAGTGTCGAAGCAGTATCGAAACAGTGTCGGGCGAGTGTCTACCAGGGCCCGACACGTGAAAACCCTTGAGTGTCGGTACTTTTGGGCCGCTCGAATTTCTTCCTGGTGATCAAGGCTAAAGTAGGCTGGAGCATCATAAATCTACAGAGAAGGCCCACTCCTTCCGAGAAGCAGGGGTGTTTCTGAGAAGCCTTCCCCCCCTCCCCCTGCCTCGGCGGTGGACAAACCTCCCTTGAGTAAACCTCCCTCTAGTGAAAGCGGCCCAGGACCGAAACCGACGGACCTCGAGCCGCAAAAACAACGGCCGCGACGCCTCTCGCGAACCGAAAGCGGCCACGTTCTTAATCGACGTGTCAGGGCAGGAGGTCTGTCCACCCCAGTTTCTAAGGAAGCCTTCTAATGAAGCCCCCCCTCCGCTGCCCCCCCCCTCCCCATGCCCATGCCCCCCCCTCCCCCTGACTCCTTTCCCCTTCCCCCCTCTCCTCCTCACCACTCCTCCTCCTCCTCCTCCTCCTCCCCTCCTCCTCCTCCTCCTCCTCTCCTCCTTCCTCCTCCCGCCTCCTCCTCCTCCTCCTCCTACTCCTCCTCTCTCCTACCTTTCCTCTCCGCTCCGTCCTCCTCCTCCTCCTTCCCTCCTCCTTCGCTCCTCCTCCTCCTCCTCCTCCTCCTCCTCCTCCTCCTCTCCTCCTCCTAGGAAGCCTTCCCCCCCCCCTGCCCCCTTCCCCCCCCCCCCCGCGCGCGGAAACCGGAGCCCTGGTGGGGAAAATGCAGCGCCTCATACCGCACGGCCCTCTGCCAGAGGCCCGAGGTCCCCAGCGCCAGAGGGGCGCCTCACCCCCCGAGGACGCGGCGACGGCGCGGCGCCTCCCCCGAGAGAGGGGAGCCTGTACTTCCCTGTGGGCCGCTGTGGAGGTCTCTTCGGGGAGAGGAGGAGGATGGAGGAGCTGAGAAAGGAGGAGGAGGAGGAGGAGGAGGGGGAAGAGGAGGAGGAGGAGGAGGAGGAGGAGGAGGAGGAGGAGGAGGAGGAGGAGGAGGAGGAGGAGGAGCTCGGAGGACTGCGGAGGACTGCGGTGTGTTCCATCCTGGCGCGTCTCGCTGAGATCGTAGGGGGCCACAGGCGAACCCTACTGAGGGGGCCCCAGGACACACAAATAAACACACACACACAAAAACAAAAAGATCCCCCATATTTTCCCATATGTTCCCCCCGCTTCCCATATTTTCCCATATTTTCTGGGGGATCGACGATTAATTGTGTCTGTGTGCTTTTTTCCCTCCTGACCTACCCCTACCCCCCGCGATTTCTGAGGGAGAGGGTGGAGTTCATTTCGTTCGGGAGCTCCTGAGGGAAGTGAACCCCACCCTCGCCCTCAGAAATCGTGGGGGGTAGGGGTAGGGTTCGCATGTGGCCCCCTAGATATGGTCCATCCTGGTGCTTCTCCCTGATATCGGCCTCTGGGGCCGATCCCTGGCGGCGCGCCGAGAGCAAGAAGGGGAGAGGGGGAAGGCTGCTCAGAGGCACCCCTGCCTCTCAGAAGGCGCCAGCCCCACACCTATACAGACCAGGCCCGCGCCTTCCGAGAAGCAGGGGTGCTTCTGAGCAGCCTTCCCCCCTCCCCCTGCCCCACCCTGTGCGCGTGGGCGACCGTGATCGGGCCCCGGGACCACCGGAAATGGATCCGGTGCGAGGAACTCTGGCCCCGCGAGGCCGCGAGGCCCGCTGAAAGCTGGCGACGGCAACGGCGGCGCCGGCGACGATCCCTCGAGGATCGTCGGCAGTGCCACCAGCTGCGCCTCGCCCAGAGCGCTCCCAGGGGTGCCAGGATCGCCCCGAGCGGCCGCCAGAGGACCGCGTCAGGGCCAGCAAGAGGACCCCCCCCCAACGAGGTCGGGGCGATGCAGTCTCTGCACACCAAGCGTTTCTCGCCCGGTCTCGGGCACCGGGGCCATCGCAGGTCGATCTGGCGCTCGAAAGCGTCCGCAGGAAAGCTGTGCTCCGGGCTCCAGTCGCGATGTATCGCGATGCTGCAACGTTTGCGCCAAGGGCCTCTTGGGTCAGACTCCCCGCCACTCGACGACGACGACGACGACGACGACGACGACGACGACGACGACGACGACGACGACGACGGCGGCGGCGGCGGTTGTGATGGCGTCTGCGGCAACGGCGGCGGCGGCAAAGGCGGCAACGGCGATGGCGATGGCCACGCCGACGACGACGACGACGACGACGACGACGACGACGACGACGACGACGACAGCGACGCGGGCGGCAACGGCGAAGGCGACGGCGATGGCAGCAGCAACGGCGACGGCGACGACGACGGAGGCGACGGCGGTGGCGACTGCAACGGCGGCGACGTCGCCGTCGACTGCCTCCCTTGCCGAGATGATTCCAGGGCCTTTTTCTGGCGCGCTCCCCACGCGGCGCGCGGAAAGCCGAAAGTGGGAGGGAGCAGACTGCAGGATTGAGTTGCCCAGGGGATCTACATACGCCTTTCAGCAAATCTGCTCGCGCGGAAGTACTTCGGTGAACTGCGATTCCCAGATCCGCGCGCCACCGCGGGAAGAAGAGGATAAACTGCAGACACACGATAGTGCGTTTGCGACGCTCATAAGAAAACGCGGGCGACCCCGCCAAGACGGCCAACGAAGGGGCCAAAGACAGCTTGGGACTGCCGAGCGAACCCCGAAACAGTTCAGCAGACTCCCTGGCTGCCCAACATAACCCAAAATGGCACATGTAACAGCGCACTGCGGCAAACAACAGCAACCAGGAACACACAGCAGCAGACAACGCCAAGGAACCACAAACAACGGCAAGCAACGGCAGCGCAACCAACAGCTCAAGCTGCAACGATTTCCGCCGTGCCCGACACAGGGTTCCACCGTCGGCCTCCTGGGGCCCGAGCGACGTCCCAAACGACCCAAGAGGACACCAAGGAAGGGGCCCCAGGACACACAAATAAATAAACACAAATAACAATGTTTCCCATATTTTCCCATATTTTCTGGGTTTTTGTCTTCCCTCCCACTGCCCATATTTTCCTATATTTTCTGGGGAGTGGGCGATTAATTGTGTCTGTGTGTTTTTCCCCTCCTGAACCAGGAAGACATCTAGGCCTCGCGCGCCCTCGCTCACCTCGAGAATCACGTGCAAGACTTCTCCGCGACCTGCCTGGCTTCATGCGAGCGCGAAACCTCGGCGACGACCTCTGGGCTGGCCTCGAGGGCACCGGCCTCGATGCCGCTGGGCCTGGCCGGGGCCGGCCGGGGCGGGAACGGGAGACAGTCGCCGAAGTCCGCAGCTGCGGAGAGGCGGGGGCCCAAAATCTTGACTTACGCGCCCCACGCGGCAGGGAAGTTGCATTGCTCTCATAGGGGGCCACATGCGAACCCTACCCCTACCCCCCACGATTTCTGAGGGGGAGGGTGGGGTTCACTTCCCTCAGGAGCTCCCGAGCGAAGTGAACCCCACCCTCCCCCTCAGAAATCGTGGGGGGTAGGGGTAGGGTTCGCACGTGGCCCCCTATCTCAGGGCACGTCGGGCCGTTTCGCCCACAAGGCCCCTCGGCGACGCCAGTGCGCGAGTAAAGTCTCGCGTGCGCCAGGCTGCGTGAGTCAAGTTGCACTGACGACCCGCTGCGCACGCAAAGCCTCACTTGCGGCAAAGCTTCGGATGGCCTCCAAGACGGCCCTGGAGCACGCCAAGAAGGCCCCACCTCGGCCCAGAGAGGCCCCCCAGACGGCGTCTCACGGCGTCAGACGGGCCAGGAATGCCCTAAGACGGCCAAAGAGGCCTCCGAGAAGCCCCCCAAGCCCCCCAAGACCCCAAAGAGGCCCAAGGAGGCCCCCAAGACGCCTCCAAGAGGCCCCCGAGAAGCTCCCAGGAGGCCCCAAGATCCCCCCTCATGTTTCCTGCTACTCCGGAGCTTTCCCGCCATCCTCCCCCCAAGTGCTCCCCGAAGGGTTTCCACAACGGCTAAGGGAGCACATGGTCCGATGGCTTGGCAGAGCTCGTGCCACATCGCTCGGCCACCCGGGCGATTCCAAAAGGTAGGGGGCTGCGGTGACTCGGTGTCCAGCCGTATCGCCCTCCCACTGCTCGGGGGGCGAAGAACGGTACAGAATCAACGCCTCCGCCGGCGGGGACGCCTGACCCCCAGGCGGCTGCCAAGGCTCTGCCCCCACGGTGCCACGCAGGGGCACAAACTTGCTGGCCGCCCAGAGACAGGCGCCCCCGACGGCAGGAAAACAATTAAAACAAAGAGAAAGATAAATCAATGCAACAACAAAACAAAAAAAAAAAAAAAAAAAAAAAAAAAAAAAAAAAAAAAAAAAAAAAAAAAAAAAAAAAAAAAAAAAACTACGCCGTTCTCCACCCGCTGATCTGCTGCGCAGCGCCCGAACCCCCGAGCGAGCGGCCGCCCGGCGCACGCCGCGGCCGGCAGGCGCCCGGCGACCCCGCGCGCCTCCAGCGGCCGCGCGCCGCGCCCGGGCGCGGACACGAAGGCGTCGGGCGCGCCGCGCCGGCCTGCGCGCCCGCGGCGGCCGCCCGCCCGCCGCCGCCACGCCGCCGCCACGGCGCCGCTCGCCGCCGCTCGCCGCCGCCGCAACGGCTCGCCGCCGCTCACGGCGGCCGCTCGCAGCCGCCGGCAGCGTCGTCGCCGCAGGCCACCACCGTCGTCGTCGGCGCGGCCCGAGGCTCGTGCTCCCGTCGTCCCTTCCCAGCCCACCTCCCAGCCTGCACCGCCTCGTCCTGATCCTCCTCCTCCTCCTCCTCCTCCTCCTCCTCCTCCTCCTCCTCCTCCTCCTCCTCCTCCTCCTCCTGAGGCACAGGAGGACACGTGCCGCCACGCTGCGCCCCCCCTGAAAAGGCACGCGCCCGGGGCCGACGCAGAGCTCGTTCCCTGGGCGGCAGGGCCAGAAGGCACCCGCCACCGAGCACATCCTGTAAGACTTCTCTCCGCGCGCGTCGCCCCTGCGGGGCCGACACACAATTAGGATAAAATATATATAGATATATATATATATATGTATATATATATATATATATATATATTATATAATATATATATATGTACACATTAATATGCCGATCATCCTCCATCGTCCCACTCCACAGCCCGCCCTCGCTGAAATCCGACCTCGCGAAACAACGGCGACCTCGCAAGCGAAAACGCCGTGAAGGATCCTCCTGGTCCTCTTCGTCCTCCGCCATGGTGCGCTGACTGGAGGCCTCCTAGATGGAATCCGAGTAGAGTGGGTCGGAGGATTGCACCGCATCGCCGATGCATCGGCGATGCATCGGTGATGCATCGGCCATGTATCGGCCATGCATCGGCCATGCATCGGCGTCGCCAGCGATGCATCGGCGACGTCGGCGTGGAGAAAATCGGGCACCACCTCGAGCCGCATCGCCGATGCATCCGCGATGTTGTGGCGCGGTCCACCGACCCCACCTGCATGGAGCCCATCTCGGAGGCCCAGAGTGGTGCGCTCACGCTGCGAGTCCCGGACCCTCGGGGGGGGCGCGGCCATCGCGATCCCCGGCCACTGCTGGGTCCAGGACGAGGACAACGACGAGGACGAGGACAACGACGACGACGACCACCACCACCCCGACGATAACGACGACGACGACGACGACGACAGCGATAACGACGACGACGACGACGACGACGACGACGACGACGACGACGACGACGACGGCGGCGACTGGCCGCCGCGGCCGCTGCGCCTCGAGGGAGGCCCACCGCGGCGCCGATGGCGAGCGCGGCTGCGCGCGCGGCCGCGGGCACGGCGGCAAAGCGCGCGCTCGCAGCACGTCGCCCACGTCGTCGTCTTCGTCGTCCACGTCACGTCGACGCACACGTCGTCGTCTTCGTCATCGTCGCCCTCGTCCTCGTCGTCACACTTCACATCGTGGTCGTCGTCCTCGTCATCGTCGTCGTCGTCCATATTCGTCGTCCACGTTGTCGTGCACGTCGCAACGTTGTCGTCGTCGTCGTCGCCCCCGTCGTCGTCGTTGTCGCCCTCGTCCTCGGCGTCGCTGTCCACATCGTGGTCCTCGTCCTCGTGCTCGTCGTCGTCGTCGCCGCCCTCGTCGTCGTCAGTCCACGTCGTGGTCGTCGTCGTCGTCGTCCTCGTCGTACACATCGTCATCCACGTTGTCGTGCACATCGCTACGGTGTCGAGGTCGTCGTCGTCGTCGTCGTCGTCATCGCCGCCCTCGTCCTCGCCGTCGTCGTGGTCCACATCGTCGTCAACGTTGCCGTGTTCGTCGCTACGTTCTCGTCGTCGTCAGCGTCGTCCACGTCGTAATCGTCGTTGCCCTCGCCTTCGTCGTCGCAGTCCACGTCGTGGTCGTCATCCTCGTCGGCGTTGTCGTTGCCCACATCGTTGTTCACGTTGTCGTGCACGTCGCTACGTTGTCGTCATCGTCGTCGTCCACGTCGTCGTCGTCGTCGTCGTCGTCGCCGTCCTCGTCGTCACAGTCCACGTCATCGTCGTCCTCGTCCTCGTCGTTTTCGTCGTCCACATCGTCGCCCACGTTGCCCTACACGTCGCTACGTTCTCGTCGTCGTCGTCGTCGCCTTCGTCGTCGTCGTCGCAGTCCACTGCGTGGTCCTCGTCCTCGTCCTCGTCCTCGTCGTCGTCGTCCACGTCGTCGTCGTCGTCGTCGCCCTCGCCCTCGCCGTCGAAGTCCACGTTGTGGTCCTCGTCCTCGTCGTCGTCGTCGTCCACATCGTCGCCCACCTTGCAGCAAACGTCGCTACGTTCTTGTCGTCGTCATCGTCCACGTCATCGTCGTCATCGCCCTCGTCGTCGTCGTCGTCGTCGTCGCAGTCCACGTCGCGGTCGTCCTCCTCGTCGTCGCCGTCGTCGACCACTTCGTCGTCCAAGTTATCGTGCACGTCGCTACGGTGTCGTCGTCGTCGTCCTTGTCGTCGTCGTCGCCCTCGTCCTCGCTGTCGCAGTCCACATCGGTGTCCTCGTCCTCGTCCTCGTCGCCGTCGTCCTCCACGTCGTCGTCCACGCTGCCGCGCCCGTCGCTACGTTCAGGGCCCCCGAAAGAAAGCCAACCTTCGGCAAGAAGCATACGTGTGGCCCGAAGCAACTTGTCGTCACAAGCCTCGTCTCCTGAAGAAAAACCTCATCTTCATCCTTTTCCTTCTCCGCCCCCTCCTCCTCCTCATCCTCCGACTCCTCCTCCTCCTCATCATCACCACCATTAACGAAACAACCACCACCACCACCACAACCATCATCATCATCATCATCATCATCATCATCATCATCAT